AGTTTGGTTTGGAAAAAAAATACTAAAAAAATAGCGTCATTTTGAGTGCACGTTAGTATTAGATCAACTGCACATTAGTGACTACTGAATTGCACTATTGACTAAAAAATCGACCGAGCAAAATACGTGTATTCGAATTTTATATTTTGGTTCGATTATTTGTTGTTACTTTTAAAATTTCATTTATTTACTAAAATATTAAATATATTTTTATATTATAAATCGATTACCTCGTTTTGTTTTAGTTTGGTTTGGTTTGGGACAAATCATTGAAAAATATATGCACTTGAAATGCACATTAGTATCAGATATATTGTATATTAGTGACTGTCATATTGCACTATTTATTTATATATAAAAAATACTAAAATAAATAATATACTTTTGTAATAATAAATTGTTCCAATTATTTGGCTTGATTCGATCTACAATTTTATCTACTCAATTTAGTTTTAAAAAATAAATATTTTATTTGTGATCATATAAAGTAGTGCACTTTAAATATGAACAGATTGCACTTTATCAACAACATGTCGCACTTTACAAAACAATATGTTGCACTTTATTACCACACTACACAATTAATGTCAACAGCTCCCGTCAAAATATTAGGCAAGAAAACTGATCTACATAATACTTTAATATCCATCATATTATCTATCAACGAAAAAAAAAAAACACACAAGCGTACTAACAAACCAAAAATTCCGTATTGCACTTTATATATCAATAAGATGCACTTTATACACCAATACGTCGCACCTTATAACACAACATGTTGCACCTTAAAAAACAACACGCTGCATGTACCGAAACTACAGTAATTATGCTAATCGATCGAATAATAATAGTTGGTTAAATGTCGGATTTATTTTTTTTAATAAAATAAATAAACGAATATGCCGAAATGTATGAAAAATATTATCGTTACTTTATTAATTTATTTTTTTTAATGAAAACTAATATTTTTTCATATATATTTTTTATGTATTGTGAGTGCACATTACGAGTTATACGGATTATACATAAATGTCTGCCGGATTGTACAAAATTGAACGAGATACAACAAACAGAAATTGGGTACGAAATTTTATATTTTGGTTCGATTAGGGCTGCACACGAGTCGAGCGGCTCACGAGCTGCTCGCGAGCGCTCGAGTCAAAGCTCGGCTCGAGCTCGAGTTTGACCGAACTCGAGTCGAGCTCGAGCGGCTCGAGCACGAACTCGAGTCGAGCTCGAGCCCAAATTTTACATTGTCGAGCGGCTCGCGAGCGGCTCGAGATATATAGTAAATTACTAAAATACCCATTCTATATATATAATTTGACAAAATTATTTGAAAATTTTCGAACCGAACTCGAGCCGAGTCGAGCTCGAGCTATTGTATTTTCTTATCGAGTCGAGCTCGAGCCTAAAAAATCGAGCTCAACGAGCTCGAGCTCGAGCTCGAGCAGCTCAAAAAAAAATTCAATCCTGCTCGATAAGGCCAATGCTCGACTCGGCTCGGCTCGTTTGCAGCCCTAGGTTCGATTAGTGTACGATGTCATTTTTTTTTATTTTAAATAACCGACATAAAAAATAGACTATATTAAAAATAATTATTTTTACATTTTTTAAGCATAAGTACCAAAATTGACCAGACTAAATCGAATTTTATATTATGAACAATTATATGTTTTTACTTTCAATTTTAAAATACTGACTACAATATTATAAATATTCATAATAATTTAATTCAGTTATTTTGGTTAAAATGAATAACTGGCCGAGTAAAACGACCATTTGTGTTTGGTTTTAATTTCGTTTGCGATAAAAATAGCATCGATTCGATTAAAATATGCTGCACTGCACAGTTATGATCAAGGCCGTTCACAATAGTTTTATATTAATAAAATTATTAATAATTTATTATAAATATTTATCCACTAATATATTTCTATTATAATTAAAATTTTAAAAAATTACAAAATAGTCCCTAACACTAACCTAATCTCCATAAACTAACCCCTAAATCAAATCACACCAAAATCACCCAACAGTCAACTTCCGGCCAAATCACCCAACAGTTGACACCAAAATCAGCCAAATCCATTTCACTAAATCGAAATTCACCCTCGTTTCTCTTTGAAACAAAAAAAAAATAAAAAATCGAAATTCACCCATTTCAATCACATTTCACCCAAATCCCGATTCAATTCGCCAGTCCCAAAAATAATTCCTGCCGCCGCTTACCCGTTCCCGTTCAGATCGCCGGCGAGCTCATCCCGTTCAGGTGGCGTCCCCCTGCTATTCGCGCCTCGTCTCTGCAACTAATCTGCAACTCTCTCTCGGAACGGCATCCCTCGCCGTCAGTACAATCGGGGCGCTCGACAGGCGGGCTGAGGGAGATTGAGAAAGGGGCAGGTGACGGTGGTGGCGGTGTTGTGATGGCTGATGGCGCTCGATGGGGTGGTAGCGGCGACGGCGGTAGTTTGGTGGCAGCATCGACGGGAGAGTTTGGGATAGTGGCGGTGACCGGTGGTTTGTGTTGGGTTGATTCGGGCGTGTCCGGTAGGAGGGGTGGGGGAGGGAGCTGCTGTGGCAGAGGACGGCGGTGTGTCTCCGGTGGTCGCCTGCTATGGCGGAGGAAGGAGGGTTTCGGGACGGTGTAATTTAGTGTGTGTTTGTGTGTGTGCTGAGTGCGTGTGTGTGCGTTGAATTGAGTGTGTGATTTGTGTCATTGTGTGTGAGAGATATAAGGGAGGGTAATTGGGGTGGGTCCCATTAGATGAGATGTAAAATATTGTAATGACTAATATACCCTTAATTATTGGTCAAATGTGCATATTTGACCACAATAATTTAAATAATTACCAGTTTGCCATTAATGCTTGACCATAGTTTGACTTCATCATCACCATTGATATGGTTGATCTCATGGTTCAAGTTCATTCTTATTTCTCGCATTAAAAGTCATTCTCATATGATCCCTTCTCTGTATATATATATATGACATTTATGAAATTAGCCGTTGTGGATGTATATTTGACGTGTGTAATTATATTTGGTGCATGTTTTTGCCCCTCATTTAACCAACTGTAATACCAACTAAAGTTGCAAATTATTAATCATAAGAAAAGTGAAGAAAGACAAAAAGAAAACAAAATCAAAGTGGCAAAGGCCATACTGCCATAGGCGAAGAGGCAGAGCTCCCACAGTTCTCACACTTTATCACTCACAATCATTTAGCTCAACTTTCCCAAAACTTCCCTAGGGTTTATAGCTTCTCTCTCTTCCGGTCTTCCCCCTTTTTGCAACCAATATCGGACGCTCATTCAGCTAAATTTCACATGGACCTCGCTGCTAATGCGTTGCAGCCCTGAATTTGATTCACTTATGGCAAGTGATCTCTCTACTTCTCTGGGATTGCAGTCCCTAGGTACCGTACCCATTTCTATTGGAAATCACGCAGCTCTAGTTTTTTCTGTGTGCGTTTGCGTTGTTTTGCTGGTTACTGATTGATTAGAATTCGTGGTGAATGATGATGAGCAGTGTTTAGGGTTTCATCTTACTAGACCTGCAAGATACATTTTGGTTCAGTTTTGTTTGGGTTCAATGTGGGTATTGTATGACATGTTTCCATTTGGGTTGTTAATGATTCTGATTTTTGTTGAAGGACAAGCGACTTAGGAGATGAGAATGGATGATAGATAGTTGAATAGAAAGCTNATATTTTAAATTATATATATTAATAATTTTTAAACTATATATTTTTGGCAGTTTTTTAATTTTCTTTTTGAATTATTCTCAAAAAATAATTTGCTATATATGCATCCTAAATTCATGGGTTATGTGGATTTAATTTAAGTAAATTTTGACTGATGCTTACAATTTTGTAAAAGTCAAAATTTTTTCTCATTTTTTATTAAAAAATAATGATTACCATAAAATCTAGAATTTCGAATGAGGCAAAATACTATCACATATATCTTTTCCGAGTTGCAACACATCAATTGCTTATTAAAAAAAATCGGATTGCATAGAAATCGGGTTAATTGAGGTAAAGTTCGACATGACAATTTTGTAAAAGTCAAACTTCTCTCATTTTTTATTAAAAAAAATTGTTTACCATAAAATCGAGAATTTCGAATAAGAAAAAAATACTATATAATGTATATTTACCTAATTGCAAGTTTGCAACAGATCATGTTTATTACAAAAAAAAAAATCGGATTGCATAGAAATCAGATCCAATTTCAAATTAAAAATTCAAATTTAAAAATTCCTTATCATCTAGCTCCAAAATTAATAAGAAAGCAGACAAGTCTTACACTTCTAAAAAGTATCATATATAAGGTAAAGTGATATCAATACAAAATAAATAAAGCTGCGATTATTTTTAACAATCCATTATCAAAGTTTATGTATTGGATTTTAAAAGTTGTTTAAGTTTCTTATAATAAATAAGTTTACACATGCAAAACAGACCATTTTAATTTGAGATTTCTTTTTTTTTTTTTCCAAANTTTTTTTTGAACAAAAAGAAACTCTCATTTTATCCATTGGACTCATGATAATTTGAGGGGCTTATGTTTTTGTTTTTAACTTTGTTTTTTTAATTCCACTATAGAAGTTATAGGAAAAAATATATTGTCTGGCTAAAGCCCACCAACGCATCACATAACCCTAGACCACTCGAATCTCCTATATAAAGGCTACTCTAGGGCTCCTTCACATCCCATCGGAAATTAAATCATTTTCTCATCCTCCTTGACTCTGTTGAAGCCCTTCACTCGTTTCCTTGAAACTCAGCTTCAGGTTCTCCTTCAGATTCTCTTCGATGCCCTGATCTAACATCCTTCAGGCCTTGATGCCCTGATCTAACATCCTTCAGGCCTTCCTTGAGGGCCTTCTCGAGGGCCTTCATCTTCTCATCCTCCTTGACTCTCTCAATCTCTTTGGTTATCATTTTCTTGGTAAACCTCTCACCCCCAATTGAGAGAGTCAAGGAGGATGAGAAGATGAGGGCCCTCGAGAAGGCCCTCAAGGAAGGCCTGAAGGATGCCGAATCTGAAGGAGAACTTGAAGCTGAGTTTCAAGGCGGATCTCAAGAAACGAGTGAAGGGCTTCAGCTACCGGTTTGCAGAAAATATGCTGAGTGCCATGCTTTCACCGTGCTGCACTTCTACATGGTGGAGCGACAGAAAGAGGTCCATCAAATGCAAGTTGCAAAGCAGCAGCTCCGTTTGCTACGCGAGTTGAAGGATGCAAATGACGAGTCTGAGAAAGGAAAAAAGAAAAAGCTGATTGAGATTCTGGCTGAGCTGAAAGATCTGAAAGATCTTGTGAAAGCGAAAGGAAAGGCTGGATCTGAAGGGTAAGTCCGAATATGGTCTTTGTTATGTTAAGATCTAGTAAGATCTGGTATGGTATCTGGTTGTTGGTTTTTCTGGTTTCGATCTGATGAATAAAAGTGAGAAAATTATCTGCTGTTATTTCTCCGCTATTTTAAGTTTTTTTGAGAAGGCCCAACATCTATACTGTCTTCTACAAATATAAACGATCATCTAGTTGTAATAAGATCATAAAAAGGCACGAGAGGTTCATTAGTTGCACTTCTTTGAAAGAACAAGACTACACACACGTCGCTCTATCAACTGTAGTTAATATGATTAGGAAAATGAATCCATGATTCAAGGACAATTTTTAATAAATGAATGATCTGTAAATTGACATAAAATCTGGACGCATTGCCACTCTTCCAATTTTATTTTATTTTATTTTTATTTTTTTTAACAAGTCCAATTTAATATAAGTGGTAGCTAATGTCCAGAAATAAACTGGAATAATTCAACATTACACACAATAAAGCCTTAACTTACATACGGAAGGAAAAAGCAAGCAGGAGACACAACAACAACAATCTTGTAAAGAACTAAAGCTGAAGGAGCACCTCATTCAATGCAATAATTGAACCGAGCAAGTTAAATTTGGGCATTTCGAGCTCGTGTTTTTTTTCTATTCCATTCGTGTTGGTTTAGTTTTGGAATAAAAAATCGTGTTCGAACTCGTTCGGCAAAGTTTTAGTTTGGTCATATTCGAACAATTTAATAAATAAACTTAATAAAATTATTTGGTTAACTCGAGATATATCCGTTTGAACTCATTCGATATCGGAAATAAACAAGTAAAATAGTTATATTTTTTATATTGTAATTTTTTTTCCTTTCATATTGTAAAATTTTTCATTAAAATTCTCATACATATAAGTATAAAGAAAGTTATATTGAAAGTTATATTGAATTGACGCTCATGAACATAAAACATTATTGAACGTTCGCGAACGAGCTCATCTTTGTTCGGCTACTAAATGAGCATAATTTCTATTTAAACTTGACTCGATTAACAAATGAACGGGCTCTTGTCGAATATGAACGAGTTTTTGGTCACTAACGTTTGGTTCGTTAACACAAACGACTCTCCACTATTTCACTTTCTCTTCACGGACCGTCAATATTCCATTTTTTGTTCACGAATCATTCGTTTCATTCGCTTTATTGGGTGTAATATTCAATTATTCAAATTTATTTCTCGACATTAGAAACCACGGACATATTGGGCTTCTTAAAAATTTGACCGAGCATGACCGAGCCTATGCACCTCGAACTCTAAATTGAGTTCATATGTTATAAGTTTGAACATTGTAGAGGCCGCTCGAAAATAAAAATATAATTTACATAAGTGTTTCTAACTCGAGCAAAATTCGAGATAAAGTCAAGATAAACTCAAGAGAAAAACATATTTTGTTTTTGTTAATAATTCTAGTTAATGAAATTTAAGCCCCTTGAGCATGTGTATATCTTTGTGAGTCTAATCAGCCATAAAAAAAGGCCTTTTGATCCGGATTTTTTATGTTCACTTTATTAGTTTATTACGTGTATCTAGAATAAGAAAATAAATAAATAATCTACAAATAGTTGAAGTCTTAAAGACTATCAATGCCTAACAGCTATTTTTTAGTCAAATCGGCATGCTGAATTAGGCGTATACTAAATGGCATATAGGTGATAGTCAAAGAACATGTCGAGTTTCCTCTCAATGAAAAGGATTCATACTATCGAGTGAAAAAAAAGAAAAAAAAGAAAAGGATCATATTTTTTCAGGATTCCATTAAAATCTTCTATAATAATAATCATAATAATAATACTGAAGTAAAATATACTTTGGCAATAAATATAAGACTGAATTAAATGAGGTCAACCATCACATATATTATTCACTTAAATAGTCAAACTATAAAAAAAAAATCTAAAATTAGAACCGACCCTGAACCGGACCGGATCGGTCCGGAATCGACCCGTGTGTACAGGTCCATGAACTGGATCCTTGGTAATACTGGGCCAATTTCGGGCTTCGATATTTTTCCCAATTCATCGGGTCCGGGTTGGTTTTGTGTCGGTTCCAGGTCGAAGACTCCGGCTTTGATTTTTAATTAAAAAAAAAAAAACGACGGTTCAGTGAACCGTTGGTTCTGAGCCTAAGTTTTGACTTTAGAGGCTCGGCGTTGCGCTGGGCCGGGCCGTAAACCGGTCCAACAGTTGGCCATGTCTACCACACCATGTAAAAATTAACGTGTCTAATTTAAATCTTGAAATTTAAAATAATAATACTTTTATTTATTTGATATTAATTAAACAAAACAACCAAGTAATATTACGTTTTCAAAAAAGGATATTAAATAATAAACAAAACAAATAACTATAGTTTTATAACTGATTATTGAGTTTGACAGTTTTCATTATAAGTGTTTGTGGGATAATCTCGTAAGATAAAAGTCAATTAGTTTCTATAAATGTTATGAAACAGATGCCTATTTTTGTTTAATTTTTTTTTTAGTTTTAAATCATATTTTTTAAGATCTCAATGTATGTAGGGGACTACTATCTAATTCTACTAATGAACAACACGCAGCACCCAACAAAAAGTTTGTGCTTCAAAACTATTATGAGATACTTTTTATAATTTGTTTGAGTTGGCTAGTGATAATTATTTATTTCATTTGGAGTTGTTTATGTTTATGAGCTGTTTTGTACTTATTTTAGTTGGTACAAAATTGATATTTATTGTAGCAGTCACTTTCGTTTTATTCAGCCAATTGTTGTCATGTTGCAGGAGATCCTGCCAAAAAGTATGTTCCTTGTGGGCCACTAACTTCACCAACACCAAAAGGGATCAAATCCCATGTGGGCGAACTATTGATCCACGGCTCGGATCAAACTACGTGCAGCCCAAGCTATGCATTCGACGGTGGCGATTTCTCCATCACACCTTTCCCACCTTTGTTAATTTTTATAAATAATAATTTCATTCACAATCCGCGCGCCTACAAATGTGCCATTATTAAAAATAAAAATGCATATTTTAATCAATTTTGTAATAAAAATCAAATCAACATTTACATACTAAAACAGACTTACATAATTTGGAACTAGAGCCAACAGAACCGTGAAAAAAAAAAAATACATTTTATAATTAAATCTATAAAAAATTCATCGGCATTTTCCTACATCCAAGGGCGGATCTACATTTGGTCCAGCCTATGCAATTGTCTAGGCTGGATTTTTTGTGCTAACTATACAATTCATGTAGTTAATATGTGTTAATTAAAACTTTAAATTTAATATATATTTATAAAAATATAAATACAGGTTTTTATTTTAAAATTTTAAATAATTCTTACCAAATAATATCATTATTTTAATTTAAAATGATGTACCTCACTTGTCAATATGACGGTATTATATTACAATACTTTTAGTACTTAGACCACATAATAAGCTTGATAGATAAATTTATTGTTTTTCAATTATAATGGATAAATATTAGTTTTTTTTATTTATAGAGATCATATAGATATAATTATTTTAATCTATATATACAATATGAATGTCAAATTATAGATTGTCAAAATATGACTAATTTAATTATCATATATAAAAAATGATAACATATTTGAGTGTTATTAACTTTTAAAATATATTTATCATTTAAGTTAGTGAAGTGTTTAATATTGAAAGTTCTTGATAAAGATCAATATTTATATGAATTATTTTGAATCCTATAATATTAACACATAGAATTAAAAAGCAGTGGAAGTTGACAGTGGAAAAACTCTATATTTATATATAAGAAAATAATTCATAAGGAACTTTTTATTAAATAACGTGAACAAAAATAATGATATTCAGACATTTCTGAAATTAATAAATTATATCTCAAATGACTTATTAATAACTTATTACAAAGAAAATGAAAAAAAATGTAAAATATTTTTGGTGTATTTCTTAATAATAATAAAAACGTAAAATAAAATAACCAGACATCATTCTCAATTTCATTTTTTAGCATCAAGTCATAGACAAATTGAATAGGAAAACTCTCATCTTCCGATTGTTCAAAATATTTATTCAATTATTAATATAAGTACTTTGTGCAATATGGTTAAAAAAATTTCAACAACTTTTACTCTTGCTCATTAAAATTTTTGGATCCGCTACTAATCCTAATAACAAAAAAGTGCAGAAAAAAAAAAATTTATACTAGTATTAAATATGTCACAAAGGCTGCAAATTTTATGATACTACATATCCCTATAAATATATTGACCTTCCATTTATTTCAAATCATATACATATATCGAGGGAATTAAAATATATATATATATATATATATATATATATATATATATATATATATATATATATATATATATATATATATATATATATATATATATATATATATATATATATATATATATATATATATATATATATATATATATATATATATATATATATATATATATATATATATATATATATATATATATATATATATATATATATATATATATATATATATATATATATATATATATATATATATATATATATATATATATATATATATATATATATATATATATATATATATATATATATATATATATATATATATATATATATATATATATATATATATATATATATATATATATATATATATAGGATGTGGTTCAAATGAGAACCAAGTCCTAGCGTGAGAACCGTGAGAACCGCTATTTTTAATTGTATGTAGTGCTATGATTGATTGTATTTAGTGCTATTTTTAATCAGGATGTATTTTATTAAAAATAGCAACACAATTTATGTTAGCATTTGTAAAAATGATAGCACCATGTAAGATTAAAAATAGCATCATACACAATTAAAAATAACATCAAATATAGTTCTCACGGTTCTCACACCAGAAAAGGTTTTTATTTGAACCACTCCCTATATATATATATATATATATATATATATATATATATATATTT